GGGGTTTTTTTTTTTTTTTTTTTTTTAGCCATGTCTAGAGGGTGGGGCCACTGTACCGAAGGCCCCTTTCCTCTCCCCACCCCGGTGGAGGGGCTTCAATTCACCCACCCCACCCTTCAGCACCAGCTGGAGAGTCCCATGAATGAGCTCCCACTGCTGCCTTCCCCCCTCCTATTCTGAAAACAGCAAGCACTGGCAGACAGTCCTGAGCACTGCTATGGGAACCTGGCTACAGGCTCCCAACCCACAGCTGGATTTCCCTCCCCCTGGAACCAACAATGAATTTCTGTTCAGTCTGGGGTAACAGAACTCAAAACACTTTGCAGAAAACCTTCTGAGTCACAGCTGGGAGCTGCACTTCTGTCTGCACCCCTACTTATCCTCCAGCTGCTTTGCCCAGCACCACCAGTGCAGCCTTACCTCCTCAGCTGCTGGCCCTGCCATGCCCCATACTAGAACTGAAGTTGCCATCGCACCATGGGGCATGCAGCAGCAGCTCTCTAGCAGGGCAGGCAGCGAAAGCCAGAACTACCACCACTGCTGTGTACTGCACACCCTGTCCCAGAGCTGGAGCTGCAACATGCCCCAGGCTGGATCTGGCCTACAAGGAGCCCCAGGGTCCTGATCTGGCCTAGGGCATGACATGAATTGGACACCTGTCTTAAACCAATGCTTTAATCATAAAGCCACTCCTAAATATGGTAAGTCTTTAAGTTCATTTAATCATTTAAAGAACTTATATTTTGTATTAACTTTTCTTATCCTGCTTGTGCAACTGCTCATCATTACATATGCTCTCCTCTGCAAATATGTTTTGTAGCAACAAAGATCAGACAATCCTACCTGAACTCACCACGATAAAGCTTCTGTAGAGCATCTGGAAAGGAATGCGTATAACGCACAGGTAAACACAAGTGACCCTCAGACCTAAAAGTGGAAAAAGGACATAACAGTTAAGTGTGATGGCCTAACCATTGAGAACTGGCTCTTTTTATTGCTTCAAACAAAGTTAAATTTTTCCATCTCTTAAAACTGGTTGTGTTCTCTCTCATTATGAGACCAAGCATGAGAACAGTTCAGAGGCATTATTCGCTGTCAGCAAATGGCTCAGATTCAGCCATCTGAATAAAGGCCATATAAAAAGGGGAAAAAAAACAGAATAAAATGAAACTAAATGGATCAATTTTGTATACCTAACAAGCCATCATAACAGCGAGTCTGGCAGAATGATGGACCTGCCCTCATCTCTGAAACAGGTCTGGACAGAGATGCACTGGACGGAGCATGGGGGAAATTTGCACTACCTTTATACATTTATTCTGCTGCTGTCAAACTAGATATCAAGCTACTATACCCAAAAACATTGAAAATATGAATAGCTCATCAGTGTTGTATGATACATTTAAGAGTGCATAAAGCTGACAGTAAAACCACTAAAGCTCAGCCCTAGAGCAATACTGCTGAGCTGGCTGGCTTCCAGAAATATGCCTAGTCACTGGAATCAGACAATCCTTCCCAACTGTGCTTACTCCACCAGTGGTGTTGTAAAAAGTTATATAGGAACCAACTTGCCTCCCATTACAATAACTAACAAGTAGCTTAATTTCAACCTCCCAGATGGACAGACTCTCTCATCTACAGACTAAGTGACAAAGGTGACAGGAAGCTTGGGTCTAAGTCAAAAAAACTGAGCCTCGACACCCTCAGCAAATCAATTTTCTTATTTCACATTAGATATTTGCCATCTTAAGGTAGCTATTTTGCACCCTAACATTCTATACTATTTAGGGATGCACATAAAGAATTTTTTGGTCAATACTGATAGCCAATTATTAGCCAGCCACGACTGGCTGATACCAACACAATTGCCAATATGCAGCCTCACAGCTTGGAGCGCAGTGTCTGGCTGGTAAGTCTGTGGGGAGGGGAAGGGCATGGGGGTGCTGATCAAGACCCCCCACAGGGAGGGAGTAGGGCTGGGGCAAGGGCAGGTGCTGCCCAACTGGGGCAGGGTGCGGGATGGAGCTGTAGGCGGCTTGTCCAGGGGAATGGAGGGGCAAGTTGGCTCTCCACCACTGCAGGCAACCCCATGGGAGGCATGTGCCCCTGCATTTGTGTGTGGAGTGAGGGTGGGCTACCTGTTGCAGGCTCAGGGTTGGAGGCTGCACCAGCCTCTTTCCAGCAGGGGGCTGGGCCAGGGCAGTGCTCAGGGATGGCAGGTGGGAGTGAACCAGCAGCAGCAGCAGCAGCAGCAGCAGCAGCAGCAGCAGCAGCAGCTCGGGGG